CTTTATGTGTAGGCTTAGGTAAGGTTATACTGGGTAAGCTTGGTGTACGCGGGGCGTAGAAGGATCACAAGGAAACGCGAAGGCATGCATGTACGCGCAACCTATAAGGTTGTATGCGCACCGTACGTGGTCAGACTCAAAACCCTAATGTCTAGGGTTGAAGCCTTATATAATGTCATTAAGTCCCATGTGTTAGCCTCCTTATCATCCTCTATTTTCCAGAAACCCTAATATCGAGCCCTATAGCATCTTGGTGTGTTCTTGACCTTGTGGAATGCATTTTTGGTAGTTTGGTGCCTTGGAAGGAAGAAGAAGAAGTTGGTGAAGGAGAGTTGTTGGAGTTTGAGCTTGAAGATCCGAGTTATCATCATCTTTTGGCACTCATTTGAGGTATAAAGCTCAGAACTTGCTTCCTTAATACTTAGATCTTTTTTTTTTTGAGTTTTTACTGGTCCCATAGATGAGATCTTGTTGATTATTTTTCATTTCTGAAGCTTAGAGTTACTACTCTTGGTGTTCTTTTGGTCCTAGAGTCATAAAGTTTCCATCTTTGAAGCGTTGAACCATCCATGCATGAGGTTGAGTTCATTTTATGGAAGTAGAGTGTTTTATTTCGAGATTGGGCTCATTTAGGGCATGCAAAACCACCAAGTTTACGACTTTATGGTTTAAGATACTTCATATGACTCAGATTTGTGATTGGGACCCTTAGACTTCAGGATTTAAGAGCTTATTGAAGAAATGGCTTAATGAGTGAGTACGCTGGAGGTACAAGCTCGTACGCGTAGCGTACACGCCATGCAGCCTGTACACTTAGCGTACAGTTGAGTACGCCCTGCGTACTCAATGATTTGGGCTTTGCATATTTTGGGCCTCAGTTGGCATACTTCCTTGGACATTGCTGTTGTGGGCCTTAGTGGGCCATCTAATATCGAACCTTTGGACTAGGGAACATTATTGGACCTTGGGCTAAGGCCATGTGAAGGAATTAGGACCAATTGGAAATTGGGCTATATTGTGGGCCTTGATGGATTGTGTAACTTTTGGGCCCATTGGATTGTGGTTATGGGCTCCATTCTTGGACCAAGCTAGGTTAGGGGTAAAATGGTCTTTCTACCCCAAATAGGGATTTTTGGTTATGATGTGAATTCCAAATGTTAATTCTGACAATTGGCAGTTCAGGGTCAGCAAAAGTCAAACAAGTCAACGAAAGTCAACTAGGTAGGACATAAATTATGGTTTATACTTTGCTTTTAGAGTTTTCAGTTTAGGACCGAAAACACTATGATCTCGCTTTTAGAGTTCTCGGTCTAGGACCGAAAACACTATGATCTCGGTGGTACTTGGACCGAAATCACCATGTGATTTCAGTGGGCTAATGATATTTTCGGTTGGAAAAAAAAAAAGAAAAAAAAGAGTTGACTTGTGACATGAATGATGCATCTTTTCCCAACAAGAAATATTACACAACATATAACAATGCCTTTACCCAACAAATAACAATGCAAACATCACTTCACCCCTACCCTCCCCCTCCTACCCCCCCCCCCCCCCCCCCCCCCCCCCCCCCCGCATTTAAGGTTCGACCGAGAGGGGTATCCCTCACCTCCATCATCTTCATTCTTCAATCTTCTCTTAAGAACAAGTCCAAATCCTCCAAAGGTCAATACTTCCAAATTGGTTCTTAGGATTTTTGGTAAGCATTACTTATTAATCTAGTGTTTCTACACATTTTCATACTAGTTTCATCTCATTTACACACATTATCATGTGTTAAAACCCATAGGATAATACCATCTTCAGAGAGTTCTTCAACCACCTTCAAGTGTTCTAAGCTTGAAGATCTTCATCTTCATCTCCTTACCAACCACAAACACACTCAAAGTGAGTTCATACTCCCATATTTTCGAGATTTTTCATGTTTCATGGGGGGGGGGGGGGGGGAATACAAGATCGTTAAAAAGGGGCAAAAGCATGAAAAATCTCGAAAATATGGGAGTATGAACTCACTTTGAGTGTGTTTGTGGTTGGATAAGGAGATGAAGATGAAGATCTTCAAGCTTAGAACACTTGAAGGTGGTTGAAGAACTCTCTGAAGATGGTATTATCCTATGGGTTTTAACACATGATAATGTGTGTAAATGAGATGAAACTAGTATGAAAATGTGTACAAACACTAGATTAATAAGGAATGCTTACCAAAAATCCTAAGAACTAATTTGGAAGTATTGATATTTGGAGGATTTGGACTTGTTCTTAAGAGAAGATTGAAGAATGAAGATGATGGAGGTGAGGGATACCCCTCTCAGCCGAACCTTAAATGGGGGGGGGGGGGTAGGAGGGGGAGGGTAGGGGTGAAGTGATGTTTGCATTGTTATTTGTTGGGTAAAGGCATTGTTATATGTTATGTAATATTTCTTGTTAGGAAAAGATGCATCATTCATGTCACAAGTAAGTTTTACCAAGTTATATTTGTTTTGTCACCGGTAAATATCGTTAAAAAGGGGCAAAAGCTAGAAATGGACTTTTTCATACCAATTTCTCATACTTGTGTTAGATGTAAGTTTATATGATATAATCTTTTAAAAACATCTAGACAAGATAACTATTACACATTTATATAAATGATTATATAAATAGACTTAACAAAAAATCATAATAAACTATAATTGATATAGTTTGGGAGTCACAAATACTACTTTATCATTTCGGACGAAACAAATAATTATTTAAATGTATAATTATTTTACAATATGTATTTACTATGGAAATGCAATATTTCCGCTTACAAAAGGGTTTTCATAACACTATACGTAAACCTGTTGATACAATTTTGTAAGACATTGTCCTCACCGTACCTACCAAATTACACACTAAAGTCCTGAATTATAACCAGAGTCTCGGTAAGAGAGCATGACACTTGTGTATAGATCTATACGGGACTGACAACCCCACACTCAAGATTTTAGCTACAATTAGACCGAATGGTCTAGGGTGACAAATGTCTAACATTCCGACGCCTGAAGAACGTTGTAGCAGGCCACTAGTCACTAGCACGGTTATAATAACTCATATGGGTATTGACAATACATTTGGTTTAAGGGGCTAATATACATTCAATTAGTTTTGTATAATTATAAAACTACATAATATGATTTTCCAGTACAACATTACTTACATTTTTGGTCTTTGGGTTTAAGACTTACAACTCATTTTTAAAGAAAATATTGGATTTTCTTAAAGCACACTCTATCATTTTACAAGTAAAAGTTACCGATTTTTCTCATACAAACTCTTATGAACTCACCAACTTAATTGTTGACACTTTTTAAAATCACTTGTATTCTTATGAAATCAATAGACAGGTAATCAAAAGAGTTTTGAGGATGGGACGTCGCAACATCACGTTATTTACTGTTGTCATATGTATTTGGTATCAAGTAAACAATGTTTTGGATACAATGTAAACTTCTTAATTATCAATATTATGGTTGTATGGCTTGGATCACTATTATTCATTATGTTATGATACTATACATGAAGTCATTCACCCCAAACGTTTCCGCCGTTCTGGTTTGGGGGTGTGACTGATTGGTATCAGAGTATTGTTTGTAGTGAACTAAGTATATCAAACCATGTAAGATATACAACTATAAATACAATGGGGCTAAAATACTCTGACTAAAAATATACTTTTAAAATATAAGGGTAATTATATAAAAAGTGGGCTAATGGCATAAAAACCCTCAAATTTGCACAAAATTGACGGATTTGTCAAAAGTTCAAATTTAGGTCCGTTTTGCCTTAAAATTGCATTTAATGTGTTGTTTTTGCCAAGTAGCCGGTTTCCCTTTAATCAACCGGTTACCACTTGCTTAGGTGGAAGATATGTGACATTTATCATTTAAAAACTCATTCACAGACATCCTCGTGTGCAATTGATCCCTTCGACCCCCACAGTTAGTCACAGAGCTACAACGGAAAAATGACAACTTCGTCTTCAAGATCAAGCTTCAATGGTGGTACAAGAATGAGGAACAAGAAGGTAATAAGATGTGAATGTGGTGATGTTTGTGGTGTATCAGTCTCACGAACACCTGATAACCCAGGACGAAAATTTTGGGGCTGCCCTAATTTTCAGGTAAAATTCTATTTATTTTTGTACTAATTTCTCCCTAAAAATTTTAGGGCTGCTCTAACTTCGCAAAGAGGAACGTATGTAATAGAACCCTAATTTTTTTTTGTTGTAGGTGGAAGGAGACAACTGTGGTTTTTTCAAATGGGTGGATGAAGAACTAGGTCAAAATATGGAGATGTGTCATACAGAGGAGATCAAGCCATTGTTAGAAGTGATCATAGGGTTGTTAGTGGTTATATCATTGATGCTAGCAATAGTGGTTATTAAGATGTAGTTTTGTTGGTTTTTCCTGTATTAGTAATATATTAAGGGTAATGAAGAATTGTTACATCTTTGTAATGTTTTTTTTTGAACGGCTGAATGTTACATGTTTGTAATGTATTAAGGGTATTAATGGTAATGTTATTAATGGTAGTTAATTACTATCTCATGTATATGTTGCATGAATGGAAGTATAATGAAAGTACATTGCATAAAAGGAAGGGCTAATGAATGGAAGCACAATGAAAGTACATTGGTTACATTCACAATGAAAGTAAAACTTTGCATGAATGGAATTGCACTAACTTGCATAAAAGGAATTGAACTAATGAAAGTACATTGTTAATGCTTAACATTTGCTAGAAAATAAAATAAAAACATCATGGTTACCATAATAGGGGGCATCCATTATAAACCTTAATATAGAGCATCCATTACATAAGTTTTACTAGCATGTAGCAGCCATCCATTTTGTATACCAAAACATGTACCCAAAAGCCTAAAAAATATCCAAAAAAGGCAAGCCATAATGTAACACTAAACAAATGGATGTATGCTGCAAGTAGTGGGTGTATATAAAAAAATAACCAAAAATGGCTACCTATACAACTGCCCAATGATAGCTAGATGTGGAACCCCTTCCATCTTTGTCAAAACAAGGTTTCTTCAGCTTTTGCAGGATGATCCTTTCTGAGGGATTTCTTGTCCTTCTAGGTGGTACATGCCCTTCATCATCAGCATCATTTCCCTCCATATCTGCTGCATCATCCTCACCAGCACCAACACCACCACCTTCATCCTCAATATCACCATCACCCTCTCCATCATCCTCACCAACACCATCGCCCTCTCCATCACCCTCACCAGCACCAGCACCATCACCCTCACCAGCACCATCACCATCACCCTCACCATCACCTGCTACTTCACCAACATCATCAGCAGCATCACCCTCACCCTTATTTCCTTCCATCACACCATAACCATATGGAATATGCTCAACTTCATTCACATCCTGTTAATAAAAATTTGAAAAATACTTATTAATAAAAGATATAAACATGTTTGTTACTAATGTTAGGAATTATAAAATGATGAAGTCAAACTAACCATCTCAACTGGTGGCATATCATCCAATTCAACTTGAACCCCTCTCATGCTCTCTATTTCAGCCATGCTATATCCTGCCCCAAGTAGGTCTGCTACACTTTCTAGATCTAGCATCACCATCTCTGGGAGAACATCACTTGCATTTCCTTCAGTGAATTCAGGTTCAGGATTACCCTCATTCTCAGATTGACTTTTTTCACCAGTACCTTTAAGAATAGCATCCATTGTATCTTCAACCTCATCAAGTGTTTTTGTCAGGTCTGGTTCAACATCCTTAACACCTTTTTCATCATTAGCATGATGAATACTTTGAATAATAGCATCCATTGCATCTTGGAATCAATCACCTTTCTTATAATTATACTTTGGTTGGCTAAGAGAAGCTTCAAAAGTGCACATCATATCAACCAAACTGTCATCATCAATATCTTCTTTGTCAAACAAATCTTTCATTTGTTCCTCACATCCCCTACCTTTAACATGACCATCTAAACCATCATGCTCATCAAGTAGAACTCTATCTTCCACAATGCCACCACCTCTTTTTATCCCCAACTTCTTTTTGCTTCTAACAGATTTAGAACCTGATGCTTGATTTGTGTCATATTGGACCTTTTTCCTTGGCCTTCCTTTCTTCTTTGGTGGCATAGGGACATGTTCCTGCCTCTCAGACCTATCACATGATGCTTGACTAGGTTCACATTGTTCCTTCCTTGGCCTTCCTTTCTTCTTTGGTGGCATAGGGACAGGTTCCCTGGTTGCATTCTTGCATCCCCTCTGGTTATGGCCATACTCAAAGCACTTACCACAACTTACAGTTCTTGGGGTATGTACTCTTCCATCATTTTCAGTTACATGTCTCCTTCTATTGACCTTTGGCCTACCAGGCATTCTCATTGACACTGGTGGCAAGGGCTTTATGAATTCAGTTTGAGGCCATAGATTTGAACCATTCACTGGACTAATGTTAGCAGAGTAACACTTAAGGAATTGTTCCTTGGAAAACATGTGATCAATGTACTCATCAAGTGTTTGCTGGATATAGTTGATGGTTGCAATGACATGAACACATGATATCCCAGCCAGATCCCATAACCTGCAGGTACAATGACTTCCATCTAAATCCACCATGTAGCTATCACATCCTCTCCTTGCTTCAAACACATGTTGTTGACTATGAATTATTAACCAAAACCTACATCCACAAGTTACATGTTAAAGTTTTACCTAATGAAATTAAAACAAAAGTTACATGTTAAAGTTTTACCTAATGAAATTAAAACAAAAGTTACATGTTAAAGTGTTACCTCATGTTCTTCCCAAAAAGCTTCATCTTCTTTAACATTGCTGGACATATACGGGTATTCCATTTAGTGCTTTCCTCAATCATGTGAGCAAACCTATTCATGATGTATATCCTTATTTCTTCAAGCATTGTGATCAATGGTTTTTTCCTAGCATCCACAATGATGGAGTTGAAGCACTCTGATATACCATTCTCCACCGCCTCACATACATACCCTGTACTCATGTAAGCTCTACACCATGTTTGGGGTTCTTTGGACATCAGATGCTCATATGCACAAGGATTGAGCTTTTTAATTGTGTCCATATGTCTCTTGAAATCACCTTCCACACAGCTCATAGCTGCAACCCAAAACAGCTTCTTCAACTCCACCCCAGTGTAAGGTTTTCTAAAATTTGCATATATGTGTCAGGCACATTGCTTGTGCTCCACATTTGGCAATATATCTTTAACAGATTGCAACAAACCCTATACAAAAACCAACATACATGTAAGTATTTATAAGTAATTTGAAAAGGATTAATATGTTATAAAGAAACTTACTTCATGTTGATCTGATATAACTACCAAGCCCCTTCCATCAATAAGGTCTAGATCACCACTGAGTAGCTCAAGGAACCAAGTCCAGTTGGACTTATTTTCCACATCAACAACAACCCAAGCAATTGGATAAACCTGGTTGTTGGCATCTCTACCAATGACTGTTAGCAGTTCACCCTTCACCTGCCCCTTTAGAAAGCACACATCAAGCCTAATTACTCTCCTACACCCTCTTTTCCAGCTATCACTTAGTGCTTTGAAACAAATGTAAAACCTGTGAAAATAATTCTTTCCATCCGGATTGGTTGTTACACCAACTTGACATATGGACCCCGGGTTTGACCTTAACAATTCATGGGCATAATCCCATATCCTTGCATAATGCTCAGCGAGTTTACCTTCTATTAAATTTTTGGCCCATTTCCTTGCCCTTCTAACTTGTCCTATAGATACCACACACCTATACCTTTGTCTGATGTCATCAATCATTTTCTGAAGTTTCATCTTCCGCTTATTTGCAATTTCAGTCACATAATGTCTTCCAATCCATTCAGGGGACACAATGGACCCAAACATAAACTGCCTAGAAAATTTATGGTCACCATTCATAGCTTTGATCTGAAAAGATCTTTCTTTGTACATCCATGCATCATAAATTCTGAAAGGGCATTTATTCTCTTCCTTCCTATTGTCACATCTAGCTACAATTCTTTTACTATCACATTTTTCAAAGTATATTCTATAGCCATGTGACACTGCATAATTGGTGACACAAAACTTCAGTTGGGCAGGGGATTCAAAGATGTCACCAAGCTTTGGTACCGTCTTGTCCCACTGGATGGTTGGGTCATGAATTCTATAGTTGTTTTTCAATACCTCATGTTCATCTTCATCACTCTGCCAATCAATAGCATGGTACACTTGGGCTCTGATTTCATCTGCCATACTAGAATTTCGTAGGTTTTCATCACTTAATAGAACATTTAGGAATATATCCTTACATTTATCGAGTGAGGACAAAAATTCTTCCTCTGGTTCGTGGTCCATGTAAATGCCGTGGAGTTCAAAATCCATTTCACTCAAGCCAGCAAATGGCTCATGTATGCCATCAAAGGGGTCAGCGTACCCTTCGTCTGATGAAGCCATTACACCCTCCAGCATCAACACACTAACTTTAGGAACACATTTCAAGAAATGTTGAATGTAAACGTAATTTCAGTCAACCTGTAAAAACCTTACCTTTCGAAGAAACTTTTACCCTAATCGTCTCCAAGAAAACCCTTTTTTTTCTCTGCGTATACAGTCGATGAAATGGGAAAAGGTGAAGAGTGATTGGGTTATAGAGGGAGATGAGATGCGACAATTTAACGTATGTAACGGAATTGGAGTTTTTTTTGCCAAACGACGTTAATGAGCCTTCCACCTAACCAAGTGGCAACCGGTTGATTAAAGGGAAACCGGATACTTGGCAAAAACGACACATTAAATGCAAGTTTAAGGCAAAAACGGACCTAAATTTGAACTTTTGGCAAATCCGTCAATTTTGTGCAAATTTGAGGGTTTTTATGCCATTAGCCCTATAAAAGTATAGGTATATACATACATACTAGGACTGTGTCATAACAAGAACCATATAAAAGTATTATGATGAGTTAAACACTAGGATTAAGCCTAGATAGTTATGTGATTATATCTGGGATAAATATATCCTGATCAACTATATTTATGCGAGATATGACTAACATGTGTTTGGGAATGGTCGTGGTGAACAACGAATCTAAAACTTACCAACCTTATATACCAAGAAACTCTAGAATCAAAAATAAAGTTTAAAATACTATAGGAGTATTTTAGAATACTACAGAGTCATACACTTATACCCTTTATGTATTTCTCTTACCTCTATTCTTGCACAGACATCATAGAAGGATTCCATATGCCGGGAGAACCCTATTTCCCTAACCAGGGAAATGGCGGTTGGGTCGAGGAGGATCCCGAAGAGGATCCTGAGGAGATAATGGAGGAAGATCCCGAAGAGGATCCAGAGGAGGAAAAAGACGAGGAGGAGATAAAGGAGGACTCAGACGCAGAATCCGAGGTCATTAATCCTCCCTTTGTCGCTCGGGTTCCCGCACATCGTTAGGGCTACCAGGGGCCCACGCCCCGTTGGGCGGAGGACCTGGACAGGTGGAGCAGATAGCAACACTTGCGTTCCCCATACGGAATGGAGCGAGGTTTCTATAACCTTAGTCATGGAGGTCCGGCAGACAGGGCCCTCCCCGTCATGGTTTAGTGGATGCGCATCTCGGGGATCAGACCAGGGCATCATCAAGTCGGATCTTGGAGGTAGGGGCTGCCGTTGAGGTCATTGATGCACGAGCTCGACGACTGGAGAGGAACTACCCCCGGACATGTAGTGTCATCGACCACCTCCAAGAGGATCTCACCACCACCCGAGCGGAAACGAGAGAGTACCAGGAGAGACACTCGACCCTCGAAGAAAGGGTGATCGTGGCTGAGCGCTGGATAGCGGAGATACAGTCCTCCATGACTTCATCCCATGGCCTACAGGAGACCACACGCTGCGAGTAGGGCTTATACAACTCACATTTTGTTATAGATGAGGTTTACGAGTAAGCATTGGTGTTACTCTTTCCTGTATGTAGGTTCGTCCCTACGAATAAGTGATTACACTATTCAAGGGCTCGTTATGCTGCCAAAAAATTTCTTGTCTCTTGATGTATTGTTGACCTTCTTAAAGGTCAATTTTCACAAAGTTATGTACTAATGCTATATTATCAATGAAATGGGCATGCATTTTATTTCATTGGGTGTTGCTATTTGTTTTGTAATTGTTTACTTATTATAGTAAATTCCATATATGAATTACTTTCAAATTACAATAACAATGATACTTAATACATATATAATCGAGACATTCGATTACGGTAATGCCCGACTTATAACCCTTGTCGAAGACTTATCATCATTCCACCTTTAATCGAGACCTAATTGTGATTTGATGAACAAGATGCGGAAAATAAGAACAAACATAATAAAGAAGATATGTCGAATGATCACTTGATTTATTCAAAACATGAGGAATAAATTACACTTTCAGAATAGACTAAAGAATCTAAATCTACATAAGAAACCTCATAATGTTTGGTGGCTACATTTTGCCTCACTCTTAACCCTAATTATGAATAATACATGACTATTTATAGGGAAAAGACAAGTCTTGGGCTTTTAACCTACACTTCATCAAGGGGGCCCATTGCCATAATCCATGAAGTACTTTGAACCCTACAATATCCCCCTCAAATTATGGAATGGATGACAAGGCTTCAACTTCCAAAACAAGCATCTAGCAAATAAGAAAAGATCTCGCAACGAGGAATATTTGAAGCATCCACAAATCTTGATTCTTCAGTAGTCTTCAAAAATGGGTTCTAGGATATACATAAAACAAAAACTGAAGTAATGTGTTTAAACTTCATTTTCTAATGTAATCCCAAAGATCTTCAAGAAAGCCAAACCCGCCATAAAAACCCATTTCAGAATTAAGAAACACAATCACTTCTTGTCTTTGAAGAACTCCCCCTCCAAGTCACAATGATCTTCAGATAAGCTAATGATATAAGCCACTAAAAAGTATCATGTAACAACCAAAATTTTAATATTCGTAACGCCACTTGATCGAGAAAATACTAGAAGTCGGAGATATATCAAGGCCTTAGAAGAGCTCGATGAAGAACTGCTACTGTAAAGGCTACTTCTCTATAAGAACCCAAATTCTCCCCCGATTTATAACAAAAAACGTGATTATAAAATCTTAAAATGGTCATGAGAATGATCTTGAATGGATAAATAATTACTGTGCTACCCCGCGACAAAATGATATAAACAATGAAGTTTAAAATCCGAAATAGTCGAAAAAATTTAACGTTATCGCGAAAAACGACTTTCCGAACCGCCAAGACTTGTTGGAATCCTTATTTTTCTGTTCATGAAAAAAATATGTGCATTAAAGAATCCAAAACTGTTCACCAGCCCTTAAATTTGCAAACTTTTCGAAAAATGGGCTAAAACTGTCACAATGCTGAAATTTTGGGACTGAAAAGGTAATACTGCATCAGTTGCCCCTTTAATTGTAACAATTTCTGGAAATGGACCAAAACAGCCAAGTCACGAAAAATATCGGGACCAAAACCATCAAATCGCTGAAGTTGCAGGGACCAAAAATGTAACTTGAGTCATCTTCCTCATTTGATTAAATAGGAACGGACAGCAACTCGCGATTGAAATCCGAATCCAGGAAATTACCAACCCTCAAGTTAACCGTCGTTCCGAGCACAAAGATGCGAATCCGAGCCATTCGTAGTCGATTGCAAGCCAGTTCACCATTACGAACCCGAGTCCAGTCTTGTTTCCAAGCCGACTGGAACTCCGAATCCATATCAACGTAAGATACGAATCAAAGTCAACAGGTTCGCTGCAAATCAATGTCAACCACAAATCCAAAGCTCCAAACGATCGTGGGAGAAAATGAGTGCGAGCCCAAATTCCGATTCCAAATCTGAATGTTCACAGGTAATCCCTTCGACCCAATTTAATGCTGATGCGAATCAGTATGACCCTGAATGCGAGCATTACAAGCTCCTGAATGTGAGCCTAGTCGAGTCTGAAACCGGTCTTAATTTAGACTTTCGCTAGGATATGAGGGAAACCTAGAATCCCAATCCCGATTACTAGACCATTCGGAGGTAAGATCATTCATATTGATTTTGACTTCCAAGGTTGACCAGTAAAAGCGAGTTATGTGCTCAAATTATTCCGATAAGATCCAATTTCGATTTCATTCGATCGCATTACACTTCCGGTCACGAATATGATTAAGATCGCAATCCCAATTTCGACTTTCTATGGTTTGACCCTCCAAATCGAAATACAATCCAGTTCAACTGACAACCATTCCAACTGAGTTTTCACCCAGATAGCGAAACCCTTCAATAATTCTTGACTATAACAGATGCTCTTACACACAAAGCGATATAATCTGGAAGCCAAATTGATATTCGATGAATGAATATACCGACATAGATCGAACACAAAACCAGATAAATTCAAAATCGATCTTAATAAAGGCTTGATTATGAGAATCGACTCAACAGAAGAAAAAAGGATTTACAGGAACGAAAATCACAAAATCAATATTAGACGAAAGCAGTAAGCAGATTCAAGAATGGGATATATGGGCTTAACCACCAGTGAACAGTGCACGAAAACAGTAACTGGCCCAAGTATATATAAACAAAATTGGATCGGAATCAATAGTGATAAAACGAAATAAGATTCGATTATATGGCCTCAAACGGGATCTATTGATCTCAAGACAAATTAATCAGATCCAAAGAACAGAGAGAAAAAAATATACCACGATGAACAGTAGAGGAATAACATAAAATTTCATGAACAGTAGCTTGAACAGAGTTTTGATTCCAAGATGCCAAAACACCAATAATCTTCAATAACTTGTGAAAAAATCATCAAACCAAGAACCGATACTTCAAAAATCAATAGATCTTCAAAGACCCACTCTGATACCACTTGTTGAGTTGAAAACTAAAGATCGAATAGATTTAAACAGTTAAAAACAATTAAACACATAATATGAATCAAGAATGTGTTGAATGATTAAAAGTCACAGCCTCAGAAGAGCTCGATAAAGAACTGCTACGGTAGACGTGTGTAGGGTTTACAATGACACAATTAACAAATACACGATGCATGCATGCATCTTAAATAGTAAAACCCTAATTAATAACTCACGAGTGGTCAGGCCCAACTCGGATACACAAAATAAACTTAAACATAAAGCCCATAAAGACGCAACACTAAATACCCAACAGAGGGAAGTGATGGAGACGTTGAGGAGGGAGATATTTTTACGAAGTTCTCCAAGTATGAGTTCTAGTTGCGCGAGGTGCATTTTCTGGGGACCTTGTCAACCAGACGGGTATTCTGGTCGATCCGGCCAAGGTCGAGGCCGTGATGCTATAGGAGGTTCCGAGGTCTCCATCCGAGATTTGGAGTTTCCTTGATCTTGGTGGTTAGTATCGGAGATTTATACAAGATTTCTCCAA